AAAGAAAGGACAGTGGTGTCCAAGCCAACATTCGGTACGACTTCTTCACGAGACTTCCTGTTTCTGTTTGTGTTTTTCGTCCTAGATCTATAGATAGGCGGAATATGTTTGAAGTGCTGTGTGTGCGTGTTTGTGTTTGTGCCGCTGAGATTTAACAGTTATAAATCACATCGAACCACTTTTAAGGCAACCTTTTCATCCAGAAGAATCTAAACTTAGAACAAAGAGAAGGCTGGAAGACAAATGTGACTCTTCTCGTTTTATCTCAAAATACTGTAGCTCACCATGACTATAGAACAATTAATAGGCCTACTGTTTAAGGCTTTAAATAAATTTGCTTGCTATTTGGTGGTAAAGAAGTGGAAGCAACCTAAGCCCCACCCAAATTTTGGTCCACCCACTGCTACTGGATGTGTGTGAATAACGAAGGCAAGCAGTACACTCTTAGTCTTTCTGGCCCCAGTCGACATAATGTGTTCTCGTGTCTCTTTCTTCTGTTTTGACTTGATGATTTGAGTTACTTGAGGATTGCTGGTGGCGGATTAGACAATGTATATAATATAAGCCTCGAAATGCTTATTTTCGCTTTAAGAAATTCTAGCATTTCGGCTAATCGATAGTTTTCTCAAAAACAACGTAGACAAAAAAAATTTTCTTTCGGTTTACCGCTGTTTTCTGATTAACTGTGTTCAGTTTAAAAGTGCAGTCCATTGTACTTGTTAATTGGCTGAAGGTTAGGGGTTAAAGTAAAGGATTCATTATTGCTCTGATTTTTTCCTGTTTCCCAATTCTTGTTCTACTTCCCTGTTTTTCCTGGTTATATTTATATAATAGTATTCCCTTGCCATTTACATTTTGTGGAACCAGTTCATTGCAGGCTTTTTTCTCCAACAAGTTGCCAGTTTAGGACTGCTGTAAGGCCCATTTCATTGAGGCCATTGATATGGTGTTTTTCTTCTGGAGGAAAAGGGAGTTAGGTTTTCATGTTGTTTTTTGTTGTTGCGTCTTTTGTATTTTAAGACAGGTGGCTGGGAACCACGGATGTTTTTGGATAAAATTTACAAGTATTTTAGCTTTTTGCTCAACCATCAGTTTTTCTTACTTAAGTGTAGAAAGTGCTTGAATTTAAAAGAAATGGGGATATGTTTATATAAGAATGTGTGGAGGGTTTTTAATGGTGTAAAAAACTCAATAGATAATATATTGTTTGTACTTCCCAGATTTAAAAAAAAATTTTAAACACTGGATGTTCTGAAACATAATGCATGTGATATTCAAGTGAATCTATTGTGTGGTATCTCCTCGGTTGAATCAGACAAGAATGTTTGTGTAAATGGTAATAATCATTATATTAGATCACTTCTATAGTTTCTCTCTTCTCACCCACAGGGAGACAGCGACCTAGTGTGGAGCTGTAGCAGGCTTCGCCCGTCATCATTTTTCTGGTTTGAGGCCCCCCCTCCCCCTGCTGTCAGCCTTCACCACGGAGTCGAAGGGCAAGCGAGGGGAGCAGAAGAAGGCTCTGACCATGTCCAGGGGCAGCATGCGGCCCCCGCCCGTGTGTGCTGACTGCTCTGCTCCCGGTGAGTGACCTCACACTAGTTTTGTTTTGTTTTAGATCAGATCTTAGTTATGTCCGCTGGTTCACATAGCTCACAGCGTTACTAATAATGACAGATGATATAGCGCTCAACCCCGATTAAAGTACACAGGCTCTGAGTGCTTTGCAATACCATATAACAGTAGCGTAAAACGTGTGTGCTGACTGCTTTGCTCCCGGTGGGTGACCTCACGCTAGTTTTGTTTGTTTGTTTGTTTGTTTGGGTTTTTTTTAGTTACAGTTACGGTGGATCTCTGACACTCCACCTGGAGAAAAAAAAATTTGATTACAGTTTAAACAAATCATTATAAATTAGGCAAACGTGTTACAATAATCGTGTACAGTACGTAATACCTAATACTATCATGCACACCTTTTTCTATTAATTATATGGCGGCAATTTGATAGAAAATGGCAAGGCAAGGGACCCAAAAAAATGCTCGAAGTAACGGCCTGTCGGTTCAGATGGCTCACAGCATTATTTCTTCTATAATCAGATAGTATATATGTTTACTGCTTATGTCGTTTATTTCTTCTATAATCAGATAGTATATATATGTTTACTGCTTATGTCGTTTATTTCTTCTATAATCAGATAGTATATATATGTTTACTGCTTATGTCGTTTATTTCTTCTATAATCAGATAGTATATATATGTTTACTGCTTATGTCGTTTATTTCTTCTATAATCAGATAGTATATATGTTTACTGCTTATGTCGTTTATTTCTTCTATAATCAGATAGTATATATGTTTACTGCTTATGTCGTTTATTTCTTCTATAATCAGATAGTATATATATATGTTCACTGCTTATGTCGTTTATTTCTTCTATAATCAGATAGTATATATGTTTACTGCTTATGTCGTTTATTTCTTCTATAATCAGATAGTATATATATATGTTTACTGCTTATGTCGTTTATTTCTTCTATAATCAGATAGTATATATATGTTTACTGCTTATGTCGTTTATTTCTTCTATAATCAGATAGTGTATATATGTTTACTGCTTATGTCGTTTATTTCTTCTATAATCAGATAGTATATATGTTTACTGCTTATGTCGTTTATTTCTTCTCAGTTAAGTGTTTATTTTATGTAGGCAAATAGATAAGAGGGGAGAAAAAGAAAAATTTGTAATGCTGAAAACTTTGATGACAACATTGGTTGCTTACAAAGGAGGAAATTTCCTTGGTGCAAGGGACATATACCAATCAATTGTAAGCTCTATAGGGTTTACAATCTATTTTATTACCTCAGCAGACCGAAGAACACTCAGAAACATTCTTGACTATTCGGGAAGCACGCAAAGCTAGCTGCAGATTAAGTGTTGAATCACAAACAAAGGGACGAGATCTTTCGCTGTCTGTGGCCAGGTTCATCAAATCCATTAGGTGTGTCTAGTTTGTGTTGGTTGATGGGGGTGTTAAAGCATCTACACATTTTAAAAAATGTGATGTTCGTCGTTCACTGGCAAAGATGACCTTGATTTCACATCACTGGAGGGTGGGGTGTGTGTGGAGATGGCTGATCAGTCCGATCTTCGCTCGGAAATGTCTATTGAAGTGGATGCAGGGGATGTTTGATGCTGAACTACACTGGAAGCATCTATGAAAAGAAAGACTAATGTTCCTCCTCTTTCTTTCCCTTTGTGCTTGTGGTGCCAGAGCCGACCTGGGCATCCATCAACAGGGGTGTGCTGATTTGCGACGAGTGCTGCAGCGTCCATCGCAGTTTGGGCCGTCACATCTCGCAGGTCAAGAGCCTAAAGAAAGGACAGTGGTGTCCAAGCCAACATTCGGTACGACTTCTTCACGAGACTTCCTGTTTCTGTTTGTGTTTTTCGTCCTAGTTCCCCTGTGAATGTCTTTTTTTATTTGGTTGCTTTTAAGGACAAGCGGGCTAACCCAGATTTGGGGGGGTTTCCTGAAATCTTGACCTTCTTTGTATGTTACTTTCTTATGACACCTCTAATCTTCGGCACTTATTGTGATCTAATTGTGTTGTTACAATGTTGTAAAACTCTTATTAAAACATAAAATTAAGTGGGTGGTTGGCCGGTGCTCTGGTGTGGTTTGCTTTTTCTTTCATGTCAAACATCTATCGTCTTTATCTCCCCTCCATCTTTTTTGTGTTTATTACTCTCTTGTAACACCTCTAATCTGCGGCACTTATATGACCTTTTTCTGTTGCAAGTGTCATAAAACTCTTATTAAAAAATAAAACTAAGTGGGTGGTTGGCGGGTGCTCTGGTGTGGTTTGCTCCTTCTTTCCTACCAAACATCTGTCGTTCTGATCTCTCCTACTTCTTTTCTTTGTATGTGACCCTCTTGTAACACCTCTAATCTTCGGCACCTTTATGACCTTATTGTGTTGCAAGTGCTGTGAAACTCTTACTAAAACTAAATTTTCCCCCTCAGATGGTGTATATTCTGGCTAGCAATGGAGCAAACAACATCTGGGAGCACACCATGCTTGACCCGGCACAGAACAAACATGGCCGACGGAAACCAGGTCCCAGGGACCCGCTCCAGTATGTTGTTATGATAATGATCATCGTAGTAATCATAATAACAATCATAATAATCATAATAACAATCGTAATAATAATGTCCATAATCATGATAGTCATTGCAATAGAAATAATAATAATAATAAGAAGAAGAACAAGAATGTTGATAATAATCATCATAATTGTGATAATAATGATGATAATAATAATAATAATGATAATAATAATAATAATAATGATATTAACTACTCCTGAAAAAGTAAAACTTGAGGTGCTTTACAAAACCGTCATGTCAGCACAACGCGCAAGTGAATGAACGCGCGTACATAGCCTACATGTCGTTCCTTAGATTAACGCTAACACATCAGCAGACATCCTCACGATTACAGCACAAGGGATGACAAGATGCACGCCACATATAATGATTTCAGTTTTTCCCCACTTCTTTATAGGGGGCAGCTGGAGTGTCTGTTTTTACTTCTTAAAGTGTGTTGTCATGGAGGATTTAACATTAGAAGAAATGAATTTAGAGAGGATAACATTTCTGGTAGGAGTCTTTTATTCAACTTTTTGGGGCTGTTGAGTAATGAGTTTTTACAATAAGTTTTCGTCTAGATCTGTGGTCGCTCTGTTAGCTTGCCTGTGTGTATGTCCCCACCATTCTGCTGTAACTGACAAAATGACTTTTTTTACTCACAGCAGTTTTGAGAAAAATAGGTTTTTTGTCAGCGCAACCATTGAAAAATAGAGTTCTTCCGAAATTTGAATTCGAATTGATTAAAAAACCGGTCACAGTTTCACTTTGATTTTTTCACACAGGTAGGATAACCGATCAGGCTTTCGATTTAGCAAATAAGAAATTTTGGCACTAAAATGAAAAAAAAAGGCGTTTTGTCAGCTTACGGCAGCATTTTCAGATGTGCGTATGTGTTTCTATAAACATGTTCTGTTTCTGCGTCTGTCTGCTTGTAGTCCCAACAAAGCCGACTTCATCCGATCCAAGTACCAGTTCCTGTCATTTGTGAACAAGCAGAAAGACAGCGATGCCAGCTCCCTGGACGATGTCAGCAGAGTAAGTCGTCAACTGACAAGAAAAAATTTCTTTTACCATCTATGAGACTTAAAACAATGAGTGAAAGGGCATTTGAATACCGAGGCCCCAAGATCTGGAATGCTTTACCAAGTACTTTAAAAGAGATCAAATATTTTGATTCAAACAAATTTCAGCTGAAGTCGTTTCTATTTTTAAAGTAATTAGATGAATATTTGGAGTGATTTTGTTTTGGTCGGAACACAACGTTTTATGTTACTGTTGTACGTTGTATTGTATTGTAAAGCGCTCTGATCCTGTGTACTTTAATCAGGGTTGAGCGCTATATAAATGTCATTTATTATTATTAGTAAGTATAGCATGTATTCTAACTTCCAATAAGTGATGTACAGTCTTTTATGTGGGTAGTTGGTGGGTGTTCTGGTCTGGTTTGCTCCTTCTTTCCTATCGAACCTCAGCGCTTTCGTGCCCTATCTTCATTTTTAATAACAGTGGAAAGAATTAATAACAAAGAGTGAGCTTAAGCTTTATTAAAAATGGAGATACGACAAGAAAGCATTGAGGTCGTAATATGCTGGTGCGTGGGTAAAGGTTCTCTAACTTGTTTGTTATGTTTTGTTTGTTGATTACTAAATTATACGCTGGTGCGTGGGTAAAGGTTCTCTAACTTGTTTGTTATGTTTTGTTTGTTGATTACTAAATTATACGCTGGTGGGTGGGTAAAAGATCTCTAACTTGTTTGTCATGTTTTGTTTGTGGATTACTAAAACAAAGTTATGTTTTGTTTGTTGATTACTAAAACATACGCTGGTGGGTGGGTAAAAGATCTCTAACTTGGAAGCCATTTTTTTGTTTGTTTGTTCCCAGGAGCTCCACTCAAGTGTTCGAACAAATAACGTAGAGACCTGTCTTCGTCTCTTGTCCAAGGGCGCAGATCCAAACTACTTTCACAGGGTAAGTCGAGAGAATGTGGGACAAAAATGTTATGTGTGGAGGTGTGAATGAAAAGTAATCTTTGTTGAAACGATCTCATTCATTTTTGTATCCAATCAGGAAGTCAAGAGGGTGGTTGGCGGCTGCTCTAGTGTGATTTGCTCCTTCTTTCCTATTGAACATCTATCATCCTGATCTTTTCTACTTCTTTTTTGTGTTTGTCAACTCTCTTGTAACACTTCTAATCTTTGGCACTTGCATGACCTTATTGTGTTGCAAGTGCTGTAAAACTCTTACTAAAAAAACGAGCCAACTTGTTCTCTGACTATCTCGTTTCTCACCCTGTCTCTTCTTGTGATGCTCAAAGTTTTTCGTAGGCATCCCATATTTTATTTCGATGACTCTTGTGTAGTGTCCATGTTTGGACGTGGTGGCACAGTGTTACTCTCTTGTAACACCTCTAATCTTGGGCACTTATATGACCTTATTGTGTTGCAAGTGTCGTAAAACTCTTACAACCCATCCCCCCAAAAAACCCCCAAAAAACGTCTTACCAAATCAAAAGAACTCTTCTGCTTGCTTGGCTTTGCTGTTATGGACTGTGATGACAAGACTCTATATAACGTAAAACTGTCGGTGTGTCCAGGAAAAGGGTAACAGCCCGATCCACGTGGCTGCACAGGCGGGCCAGAACGTGCAGGTGGAGCTGCTCTGTGTCTACGGCGCCGACCCCGGGGCCAAGGACGCCAACGGACGCACGCCGTACGACTACGCCAAGTGAGTGGCCGCTGTGGGCCGGGATTTTTTGTGTAGTGGTGTGGGGAAAAATGATCTGGATAGTCTGAAGTGTCAGTTCTCTTATTCCGGTCTCTGTCATATTTATCTCTCCTTCCTCTTTCTTTTTTTTTTGGATCCTACTCTCTTGTATCACCTCTAATTTTGGGCGGTGGGTGGATGACGGGTGCTCTTGTGTGGTTTGCTCCTTCTTTTCCATCAAACGTCTGTCGTCCTGATCTCTCCTCATTTTTTTTGTGTTGGTTACTCCCTCGAAACACATGGAATCTTCAGCACTTATATAACCTATTTGGGTCGCAAGTGCTGTAAAACTCTTCCGAAAACAAACCTGACTGTGGTGTACTTCTGTGGTCCCATTGACTTGCTTTGCGGTTTTTCTTTGCGTCTGCTTTCTGTCAGAAATATAATTTTTACTGTTTTGGGTGGGGGGGGGGGGGGTGAGTCGTAGGTCACCATTGTAAGTTTGTATAGTTTTAGTTGATGAAGACAATGTGTCGCTGTTTAGTTTTAGTTGATGAAGACAATGTGTCGCTGCTACATTTATTTTCACATCTGCTTGGCACAAAAAAAATGTGCGCTGATGCTTTTATTGATACCTGTGGGATAATGAATGAAACGATGCTTTCTACAAAATTGACAAGCAAGAAAAAAGTTCTTTAAAGGCTACCAGTTTTTATCAATGTCTTTAATTTTGTAAATTATAATACAGGTAATTGTGCGTGGCTTATACTTTGATCATTAGAGGAGACTGCAGATTTACATACATGCTTGACAAGGTGAACTGAACTGACAGCATGAAAGCTCTCCACAGGCTTGTCAGCTGTCCCGATTCTCCTGGGATTGTCCCGGATTCGATAATCAGGAATTTGAGAGCCTTATAACATACACTATATGCCAAAACCAGTCCCATTGAAGTATTTTTGTTTGTAGGAATAAGTTATCTGGAATTATAATGTTAGTGTCGCTGAGTGGGTTTTGCAGAAGTTGGCAAGTCTGAAACAACAACAACAACAACAACAACAGTAACAGCAACAAGAACAGACTTAACAACAAGAGTCTTTGTGTAATGATGAGATACGTTTGTATTGGCAACAACAACAACAACTACAACAACAACAACTACAACTACAACAACAACAACAGCAACAACAACAACTACAACACCAACAACAACAACAACAACAACAACAACAACAGTCTTAACAACAAGAGTCTGTGTATAACGATGAGAAACGTTTGTATCGGCAACAACAACAACAGCAACAACAACAACATCAACAACAACTACAACAGTGTTAACAACAAGAGCCTCTGTGTATAACGATGTGAAACGTTTGTCTCGACAGAGTGGAGGGTTTTCCTGACCTGGCGGACAGGCTGGTAGAGTTGCAATACGAGCTGACGGACAGACTCACCTTCTACATCTGTGGCAGGAAGCCTGGTCAGTGGGCCTCTCGGGGGGTCTTTCTACGTGTTGTCCGAGGTCGTCCTGTACCTGTCGTACGAGTTTGTCGTTTTTGTTCTCCCTATGGTGTTGTCGGAGGTCTTTCTACGTGTTGTCCGAGATCTTCCTTTACCTGTCGTACGAGTTTGTCGTTTTTGTTCTCCCGTTGGTGTTGTCGGAGGTCTTTCTACGTGTTGTCCGAGATCTTCCTTTACCTGTCGTACGAGTTTGTCGTTTTTGTTCTCCCGTTGGTATTGTCGGAGGTCTTTCTTTGTTTGTGTGGGTGGTTGGCGGGTGCTTCTTTGTCCTGTGTGGGTGGTTGGCGGGTGCTCTGGTGTGGTTTGCACCTTCTTTCCTATCAAACATCTATCGTCCTGATCTCTCCTCCTTCTTTTTTGTGTTTGTTACTCTTTTGTAACACTTCTAATCTTCAGCACTTCTATAACCTTATTGTGTTGCAAGTGCCGTAAAACACTTACTAAAATTTTAAAAACTTAATTTCATAGGCCAGTTAGATTGAAAATGAAGTGAAAAGGATCAAGTCATGTGTTCAGATGTTTTGTGGGTTGTTGGTGGGTGCTCTGGTGTGGTTTGCTTCTTCTTTCCGGTCAAACATCTATCGTCCTTATCTCCCCTTCTTCTTTTGTATGTTTGTTACTCTCTTGTAACACCTAATCTTCTGGCGCTCATATGACCATATGCAGTTTCGAGCGCCGTAAAACCTCTACTAAAACTAAACATCAGATGTTTTGCTTCCTATGGTTACCAGTAGTGTGCACGGGAGTTCAAGTGTTGCAAGTGCTGTAACACTCTTACCAAAACGAACAAAAAAGTAAATTAGAGAACTATGTGACTATCTGTTTGTTGGTAAGAATATGATTCCGTTGTTTCTGTCTGTTTGTCTGTCTTGTTTTTTTCCCTGCACTAAATGACGGTTATTGTGCTGTTGTGCATCTCTTTACTCAAACTGTGGGCGGTTGACGGGTGCTCTGGTGTGGTTTGCTCCTTCTTTCCCATGAAACATCTATTGTCCTTATCTCTCCTTTTTTGTGTGTGTTTGTTACTCTCTTGTAACGCCTCTAATCTTCAGCTGTTTAATGACCTTATTGTGTTACAAGTGCCATACAACCCTTACTAAAACTATCTTTACTCAAACTATAACGACCCCAAGTTTTGGAAGATGCTCAGTTTTCCTGATTCAGGTCTCTGTTCTTGTCTCTGCAGATCACAGGACGGGTCAGCATTTCAAGATTCCAGAACTGGGAGACAAGTAGGTGGAGAGCGACTGTGTTGTTGGGACCTCAGGCTATTTCGTACCGACATGCATATGACCTAATTGTGTTGCAAGTGCCGAAAGACTCGCGCCAAAATTTAGAACATACTTTTCAGTGTCGGTGGTTGGCGGGTGCTCTGATGTGGTTTGCTCCTTCTTTCCTATCAAACATCTATCGTCCTTATCTCCCCTCCTTCTATTTTGTGTTTGTTCCTCTCTTGTAACACCTCTGATCTTCAGCACTCACATGAGACCTTATTGTGTTGCAAGTGCCGTAAAACTCTTACTAAAAAATAATTTTAAATACTGTTTAGTATAGTAAATATCAAGGCTTTTCTTGTCTGATAATTATACCAATACTTGGGTTCGTGAGATATCTGCAATTCATTTTCTTAGAAAGGGACAGGTTTGTCAAAAAATAAATGCTATTTCTGTTTAGTTTTCGGTCCTCTTCTTTTTAATGCATATTCAATTGACTTTATAATCATAGACGATCAGGTGGCTTTAGAAAACTTTGTTTTTGATGTTTAAATGACACTTTCACATCCCTGAGGCACCCCATAGTTCAAAGGACTTAAAATAAATCAAAATGAGTAATTGATGCTATGATGTGGATAATAATGATGATAATAATAATAATTGTAAATGGGCTGATTTATCAATGTCATGCTCATACTGTGCCGGAACAACATAGGGGGAACTGCTGCTTTTTCTTTCTTCATCCTTACTATCGTCATTTTTCCTCTACTTCTTTCGTATGTTTGTCGCACTCTTGTGGCCCACTATTTCCGGGGTTCCTTGATAGTCGAAGCAGATTTTGTGCTGTTGAAGCTAGAGAGGTGAGCAGAGTAAGCCTGATTCCCCGTTTGGACTTCTCTGTTGACATCCACCCCTTGGCGCTCATATGACCTTATGCTGTTGCGAGCGCCGTAAAACCTTAATAAGAAAAACAAAAAAACCCCAACTATTTGACAAGAACATGAGCCTGACTGTTGTGTTTGTTTTTCACTCTCCAGCAACGCTGATCTCTCAGAACTGGCCAAACAAGCCAAGAAAAAGCTGCAATTAGTAAGTGGAGCCTCTCTTGTTTGTACCTTTGTTTGTACCTTTGTTTGTACCTTTGTTTGTACCTTTGTTTGTACCTTTGTTTGTACCTTTGTACCTTTGTTTGTACCTTTGTTTGCTTCACAACATTGATGCTGCTCACTTTTGTGCTTCTTTCAAAGAAGGCGGATGTGGGTGCTCTGTTCCTTATTTCCTGTCAAACATCTATTGTCCTGATCTCTCCTTCTTTTGTATGTTTGTTACTCTCTTGTAACACCTCTTATCGTCGGCTGTTATATGACGTTATTGTGTTGCGAGTGCTGTAAAACTCTTACTAAAACTAAAAATCTAATCTCCGGCACTTACATGACCTTATTGTGTTGCAAGTGCCGGAAGGCTCTAACAAAAACTAAAAATCTAATCTTCGGCACTTATATGACCTGATTGTGTTGCAAGTGCCGTAAAACTGTTACTAAAACTAAAAGTTTCCCTGTGTCCTCAGTTGGCGGACCACTTGTTTGAGGAGCTGGCCATGGATGTGTACGACGAGGTCGACCGACGAGAAAACGATTCAAGTACGTTGTGGGGCTGATTTTACTTAACACTTCGCAGTTACTTGACGCATTAATGCGCCGGTAAAGATTATCCGTTCTGGTCAGTTCTGCGCCAGCTCCGAGAAGTCCGTTGCAGTCACTCTCCTGGCTGGGTGACCAGATGGGGTATTTTGTACTGCTGGCTGTGTGACTGCAAAGTGGTAATCTTCTAGCGACAACTGCTTCATCAGAAAACCCAAACATTTTGAGATTGGGGTTTTTGTTTCTTGGGCTTTTGTTTTGTCTGGGGGTACTCAAACGACATACTGCGGGTGGTTGGCGGGTGCTCTGGTGTGGTCTGCTTTTTCTTTCCTATCAAACATCTATCGTCCTTATCTCCCCTTCTTCTTTTTTATGTTTGTTACTCTCTTGTAACACCTCTAATCTTCTGGCGCTCATATGACCTTATGCGGTTGCGAGCGCCGTGAGACCCTCTACTATAAAAAAAAAACTCGACATACTGACTCGAAAACTTTTGCAGGGATGTGCCTCCTAGAACGCTCAGATCCTCAAGTGACAAAACAACCCTTGTTAAGCCTAAAATAAATTACAAATCATAATTATGGCCAACGCTCTTTTTCATATTTTGCCCCATTTGTTTGGAATAGGCTTCCAAAAACTATCAGAGAAGCAGAAAATCTAGACATTTTTAAGAAGAAACTAAAAGCATTTCTATTTTCATCGTATTTCGATTAGACAGAATCTATCCAAGCTGTAGATCGTTGTGAGGTTGTATGTGCATATGTACGTATGTGTGTATGTGTGTGTGGTGCGTGCGTGAGTATGTGTGTGCACGAGTATGTAACACTATGTGCCTTTAAAATTGATTTGTAAATCCATAATATGTATCATGTTAAGCACATAGAGCATTGCATAAGTGGATATGCGCTATATAGATGCAATCCATTATTATTATTATTATTATTATTATTATTATTATTAGGGATGCCACATTTCTGTTACTTTTACTGAAACCGGTTTTGAAAAAACCCATATTTTTGAAATTCCATCACCAAATAAACCCCGCTATTTACAAATTATCGTTAACAGGAGGTAAAAAGAACAGTTTCTATTCTCAGCATTTGTTTCCTGTTGAATGACACATTAGTTCTGTCTATGAACTGTCTTTTTTGTGGGTGGTTGGCTGGTGTTCTGGTATCGTTTTCTCTTTTCCTATCAAACATCTATCATCCTTATCTCTTCTCCTTTCTTTTTTTTGTGTATTTGTTACTGTCTAGTAACACTTCAAATCTTGGGCACTTATATGACCTTATTGTGTTGCAAGTGCCGTAAAACTCTTACTAAAACCAAGCGACAGGTACTTTTGTTTGCTCACAGATGTGTAAATGTTTGTGTGTTATCCCCACAGTCTGGCTGTCGACCCACGACCACACATCAGTCCTGAGCGAGAGGCTCACAGTCCCACATCTGCCCGTCAATCCAGAACTTTCCACAACACGCAATCAGGTAAATGCTTAGTGTGCTTATGGACTTTACTCTTCTGATTCACTGGGTGGGTGGTTGGCGGGTGCTTTGGTGTGGTTTGCTCCTCCTTTCCTATCAAACATCTATCGTTCCTGATCTCTCCTCCTTTTTTGTGTTTGTTACTCTCTTGTAACACCTCTAATCTTTGGCACTTATATGACCTTTTTGTGTTGCAAGTGCCATAAATTTCAAACTTTTCTCTTCTGATTCACTGGACGTCAAGAGTGCCGTCCTTCAGCTGGAAAATGTGTGTCATCCTTGCATAGGGGCCATGCTTATCTTCTCTGTACCGTTCCAATTAAGTTGCATAAAGTAATCTACACACCCACCCCCTTTCGTTTTTTTCCTTCTCCTTAAATTTTTTTTTTGGACAAAAGCATTGTTGGAAGACACTGCAGTTATGAGTTCCTAGATCTTGTCCACAATTTTGTTATTTCTATATACCGTCGAAATTGTCCAAGATTATCACCCTTTGGTGAAGAGAAAAATGGTTGTCTTTGACAGATGGAGGTTCATGCATGGTTTGCTCCTAATCATGTCGCAGGTACTGTAAAAACGCTTACTTTAACTAAATCTGTTCCTTCCCAGGGCCGCCAAAAACTTGCCCGCTTCAACGCCCGAGAGTTTGCCACCCTGGTGGTGGACATTCTGCACGACGCACGACGCAGGCAGGTCGGCTTTCCCTCCCCCGTACAGACGCCCAAAGACCCCGGTAAGTCTTGCCCTCCCCCGTACAGACAAAGACCCCGGTAAGTCTTTCCCTCCCCTCCCCCGTACAGACGCCCAAAGACCCCGGTAAGTCTTTCCCTCCCCTCCCCCGTACAGACGCCCAAAGACCCCGGTAAGTCTTTCCCTCCCCTCCCCCGTACAGACACCCAAAGACCCCGGTAAGTCTTTCCCTCCCCTCCCCCGTACAGACGCCCAAAGACCCCGGTAAGTCTTTCCCTCCCCTCCCCCGTACAGACACCCAAAGACCCCGGTAAGTCTTTCCCTGCCTGGATGGTTCGCAGCTACTCTGCTGTGGTTTGCTTCAGCTTTCCTTTCTTATATTTCTTGTCCTTATCTCTTCTTCTTCTTCATTTTTTTGTGTACGTTACTCTCTTGTAACACCTCTGATCTTCAGCATTTACATGTTGCAAGTTTGGTAAAACACTTACTAGTCTGGGTGGTTGGCGGGTGCTCTGGTGTGGTTTGCTTCTTCTTTTCTATCCAACATCTGTGGTCTTTATCTCCCCTCCTTCTTTTTTGTGTTTGTTACTCTCTTGTAACACCTCTAATCTTTGGCACTTATATGACCTTATTGTGTTGCAAGTGCCGTAAAACGCTTACTAAAACCAAACTATCATTTCTTTCCCCCCCCCCCGGGCAGTGCTACTGACTGAAGTTGTCTTTAGGCCATTCCTAAAGGGGGGATATTAACATGTTCTTATGCACCATAGAATTGTAAATGGGCTGATTTGTCAATGTCATGCTCATACTGTGCCGGAACAACATAGGGGGAACTGCTGCTTTTTCTGTCCTCATCTTTACTATCGTCATTTTCCTCTACTTCTTTTGTATGTTTGTCACTCTCTTTTGACCTGCTATTTCCGGGGTGCCTTGATAGTCTAAGCAGACTTTGTGCTGTTGAGGCTAGAGAGGTGAGCAGAGTGAGCCTGATTCCCCGTTTGGACTTCTCTGTTTACATTCACCCCTTGGCGCTCATATGACCTTATGCAGTTGTGATCTCCGTAAAACCTTACTAAAACTAACTAAAAAAAACATCGGCTCTGCTTTTTTTGGAGCTCTGTTACTTACGATACATTTCCAAAAAAGCAAAAAGAAGCAAGAACAGACAGATATAGAAATTCATTCGTACCAACTGCAGTGAGGTTACTGAACACACAGTGCTACAAATGAAATAGAGAGAAAGAGAGAGAATGTTTTACGGAGCTGGTTGTTTCAGCACGTGAGACATGTATTTACTAATGTCCTGTCTTGTTGTGCGTATTCGTGAGTGCACCTAACCTTTGTCACATCTACTGCCATTGTTGACGACCAAGACAAATTTCTCCCTGCGAAATGAATATTGTCATTGTCATTGTCATGTTTTTTTTCCACTTTCAGACAAGCTTGGCCGCGGCTCGCAGCACCTGAGCATGATGAGCGACGACGAGCCGCTGTATGACAGCGTAGCGTCGGACGAAGACTACAGCAGTATTGACACGCAGAGTATTAAAAGTGTGCGGGAAGAGACACGGCCCGACATCACAGCCGAGGTGAGAGGGACAGGGGGAATATGTCGGGTTGGAATGGTTCACATGTCGGCTAATGGCGTTCACATGTCGGCTAAAGTCATTCACCTGTCGGCTAAAGCCGTTCACGTGTCGGCTAAAGTCGTTCGCATGACGTTAAAGTCGTTCACATGACGCTAAAGTCGTTCACATGTTGGCTAAAGTCATTCACATATCGGCTAAAGTCGTTTCTGTTTTTTAGATTAACTCTTCTGGGACGTATCGTGACCTCAGTGCTTTCTTGTGGTATCTCCATTTTTTTTTTTACAGTGAAAATATGACTTCTTAAGCTCACTCTTTGGTATGAACTGTTTTCATTGTTATTAAAAATGGAGATACGATAAGAAAGCACGGAGGTCGTAATGTGGCCAATGTATCAGTAATTTCTGGGCTACACATTTGGACGTGGCGACGATAATTATGTCGGCACTTTGAACTGGGTTGTTTGTTTCGTAATTCTTTTCCAGTTGATTTGGGAACATCGGTGAATATCTAAATTGTGAGGGGAAAGCTTTCTAAAATGTAATCTTTTGGTTTGTGGACTGTTTGGCTGGGTCTTCTGTGTTGTATTTCCCTACCCTCAAACTGGTTCACGGGGTTGCACATTGATTACGTCCAAATGGTTTTAACTGTGGGAAGAAATTACGTCCTGGATGAGTTAATGAGATATACATATATATATTTGTGTATATGTATATTATTTGAGTCAGAACACGTCTTGTTTATGCGTTGCTATTGTTTCTGTGAAGCGCTCATAGCGCAGTATAAATGTCATATATTATTATTATTATCATTTGCTTCATTTCTATTTCTGTATGCTTTCCTTTTTTTTTAACTTGGTCAAAATATTTATTTTTTTATTGTACTCAAAATCTCACTTCCACAAAAGTGTTCAGCTCCAGCTTCACTGTCACTGTTTGCGAGAAATGACCTTGAGTAGGAGTGGCTTACAGGCTCTTGATTCTAGTGAAGTGTGCCGTCGGTCTAGCGGTCAGGCTACAGTACTCGTAATCGTGAGGTTGCAGGTTCGGGGGTTCGAGCCGCGGGCCCGACGTTGTGTCCTTGGGAAAGGCACTTTACACAAATTTTCCTCATTTCACCCAGGTGGGAATGGGTACCTGGCCATAGACAGTGAAAGATCTTGCCAGTATGTTAGTGTTTTTGTGCCTGTAAATGGCTGCTTGCACTGTACGCTTCCCAGGAAGTTGAGGTTGTTTCAGAATGCTCTCAGGTCTGCCGGGGTAATAGTATAGATTGTGAAGTGCATAGAGCTTGCTGTTTAGCAGGGATTTGCGCTATATAAATGCTATCTATTATTATTAAGTGGAAAGTTCTTTAGCGTCACCTGTCTAAGGCAACCACCTGTCCAATTGACCACCTCCCTCCTCTGTCTAAGGCACCCACGTGTCCTATTGACCACCTCATGAGGTCACGTCCTGTGCCAATTCCCTCGCAGCGTCAGTGTCAGTGAACCTCGAGCTGTTCAGCTACTTCATGTTTGCTTTTCCCTGTTGTTCAGCAAGACTGGCACTGGAGTTTGATCTGGTGAGGAATGGAATAAAGGAACGATTTTTAAAGCGTTTTTAATTCATCTTCCCACTTCCCCCAACCTTTCTCATTTGAGTGGAATTCATGAATGTAGACTCCATAAGTGGAAGGAAAAGAAGTCAAATGAGGTAGTGCTTGATGAAGCCCACGTGGGACACTCACTGTGGAAAACAATCAGGAAACGACAAATGCAGTTTTTGGGACACCTGAATAGACAGAAAGTAAGGTCTTCAACGTCTTGGGACACCTGAATAGACAGAAAGTAAAGTCTTCAACGTCTTGGGACACCTGAATAGATATAAAGTAAGGTCTTGAACGTCTTGCTCTTATTTGCAAAATCGAAGGCAAGCGAGGCAGGGGTAGGCCCAGAGCAACCTACTTACGGAGCCTAAACAAATGGGTAACGGGGAAAGATCAGGGAAATGTAGCTTTTTTAAGAGCATCCGAGCAAAGGGATGAATGGAGAACCGTGATCGCTGATGTCTGTCGCGATCTGGCACTGGATGATGATGATGATGATGATGATGAGACTGCATGAAGCTTTTGGTCGGTTGTCGAGAGTTTTTTTCCTCACAAGTAGCACGTGCGTGTGTTAGATGAGTATATCACGACGTTTTACTTACAATGTAAAAGGAAAAAAAAAAGATGTATAGTCACCAAGCTGTTCAAATGTTCTAAACCCAGAGTCAGTGGAACATCATGTGTTCTTCTGTGGAAAACTAACTGATTTGAGGGGATGTTTTCTTCCCAAGCTACCCCACACATCTAACTGCCTCTACTCCTCAAGACAACAATTAGATCAGACATGCAGCTAGTACACAATGGCATCATGCAGAAGAGTTGACGCTCAGATGCTGCTGGATCGCTAACAACACAAACCCACACAGCAAAATTGTCAGTGCAGAGAAAATTCTGTTTCATTTTTGTAAAAATTGTACCTACATAATGATACAGACTTCAACATGAGCTAAGGACCACTTGCAAATATGGCTAAAATTCCCTGAGGATTTCTCTGCTGCACGTGGTGGTTTTGCCCCTTTAAGAAGCTCTGCAGTACGCACTGGTAACCCGTTAACACTTTCAGAGAAAAAAAATTTGAAACATTCCTTGCTGTCTTTTTTTTTCAGATTAAAAAAATCAGGGCTGTCTCTCAAGATGGTTCTTAACTTAAATGAAACATTCTGACAAAATGAGTTATTTCTCGGATTCGAGCCCTATAGAAATAGATACATCACACTCATAGGTGAAGCTTTTATAATTTATAAAAATATGAAATTATAAAGAGCATGTTATACTGAAAGAATATGGCATCAATAGAAAATCTACAAATTTGACCCTAGTGTCGATCTTTTGGCCAATATCTCCATTTGTGGATTGTGAGAAGTAACTCATTTTGTCAGCACGCCTCACTTATGTTGAAGTCTGTAAGTGTGGAATATTTGTCCAGAGTCGACCACTAGACTCCATGAACTAGTCTTGCTGAACACACGGTGTATGTATGTATGTGAGTCGACCACTAGACTCCATGAACTAGTCTTGCTGAACACACGGTGTGTGTATGTGAGTCGACCACTAGCTTCCATGCACTAGTCTTGCTGAACACACGGTGTGTGTATGTGAGTCGACCACTAGACACCATGAACTAGTCTTGCTGAACACACGGTGTATGTATGTGAGTCGACCACTAGACTCCATGAGCTAGTCTTGCTGAATACCGGGTGAATGTATGTGAGTCGACCACTAGACTCCATGAACTAGTCTTGCTGAACACACGGTGTGTGTATGTGAGTCGACCACTAGACTCCATGAACTAGTCTTGCTGAACACACGGTGTATGTATGTGAGTCGACCACTAGACTCCATGAGCTAGTCTTGCTGAATACCGGGTGTATGTATGTGAGTCGACCACTAGACTCCATGAGCTAGTCTTGCTGAATACCGGGTGTATGTATGTGAGTCGACCACTAGACTCCATGAACTAGTCTTGCTGAATACACGGTGTGTGTATGTATGTGAGTCGACCACTAGACTCCATGAACTAGTCTTGCTGAACACACGGTGTGTGTATGTATGTGAGTCGACCACTAGACTCCATGAACTAGTCTTGCTGAACACACGGTGCATGTATGTGAGTCGACCACTAGACTCCATGAACTAGTCTTGCTGAACACACGGTGTATGTATGTGAGTCGACCACTAGACTCCATGAGCTAGTCTTGCTGAACACACAGTGTATGAATGTGTGCTTCACCGTGAGAAACCACCGCTGGGTTTTTGGGTTTCATTAAAGCTATGTCATGTTTGTTGTTTTTGTTGATGTCGTCTGTCTTTGATACATCCCAATGTAAATGTGTCAGGTTCTATTGGAGCTGATGGTGATTCTATTCAGATGTGCCCCCTGTGTCTGTATGGTCACTTGTTTGATACATCCCAATGTAAATGTGTCAGGTCATGTTGGAGCTGATGGTGATTCTATTCAGATGTGCCCTCTGTGTCTCTATGGCCACTTGAAAAATGCCGCACAGTTTTGAGAAAATGAAGGGGTTTTTTCCCCCCCGATATCTCAAAAGACCAGAGTGAGACAAAGCGACTCATTTTATGGCCTTGCTACCCATGTGGGTGTAAGTGAGTGCGGATGAATGCGTACATGTGTGGCGTGTGTGTGTGTGAGCTGGTGTGTTCTGCTGAGCCAGGTGTGTGTGTGTGTATGCGTTGGTGTGTGTGTTTGATGAGTCGCTACTGATCCACTGCAGGGTCTGCTCAAGGCCAAGCGTTCGAACACGCCCTGCTCCATGATTTCCTTCACTGAGGTGAGCGTGGGTGGTTGGCGGGTGCTCTGGTGTGGTTTGCTCCTTATTTCCTATCAAGCCATCGGTCCTTATCTCCCCTCCTTTTTTGTGTATGCTACTCTCTTGTAACACATCTATTCTTCAGTACTTATATGACCTCATGGTGTTGCAAGTGCCGTAAAACTCTTACTAAAACTAAACTGAGATCTCTCTCTCTTCTCTCTTTCTTTCTCTCTCTTTCTCTCTCTCTCTTTCTCTCTCTGATTCTCTCTCTCTCTCTCTCTGATTCTCTCTCTCTCTCTCTCCCTCTTTCTCTCTCTCTCTGTCTGTCTATCTGTCTCTCACTCTCTCTCACTCTCTCACTCTCTTTCTTTCTCTCTCTTTCTCTCTCTCTCTCTGGTGTTGCTTTTACTTTCTTTCTCTCCCCGGAAATAATCCTTTCTCATTTTCTATCCCTCCCAGGGAACAGGTCTGTCTTTTACTTTCTTTCTCTCCATCAGAATAAGGCTGCTCTCTCTCTCCCTGTGGATGGGCTGTCTCCTACTTTCTTTCTCTCCGTGGTGGAATGTAACCATGATCATGTTGCCTTGCCTTAGACTGCATCTCAGAAGGTCTTGTGTCACCCCCTCCCTCCCTCTCTCTCTCTCACCCCCTCTCTCTCTCTCTCTCTCTCTCACCCCCCCCCACTCCCCACCCACCCCCACCCTTCTGCCCACTCCTTTCCCTAAATAATGATAACCAATGTTTGCCTTTGTGATATGCAACTTGTGCGAACCAACCATAGATGTGAATGTGGGTGGTTGGCGGGTGCTCTGGTGTGGTTTGCTTCTTGTTTCCTATCAAACATCTATCATCCTTATCTCCCCTTCTTCTTTTTTATGTTTGTTACGCTCTTGTAACACCTCTAATCTTCTGGCACTCATATGACCTTATGCAGTTTCGAGCGCCGTAAAACCTTTACTAAAACTAAAGTAGATGTGAATTACATGTCCAATATCTTTGACCAGGCATTGTCATGGCGGCCACTCTTTGCCCTCTACAAAAACTGAATTGCGCTGCTGCGCACCATGGATGCGAAATTTAACACTGCAGTCACAAGGCTCATTTATACTGCGGTCAAAACTTCGTGGCACAACTTATCCTCAAATATCTCTTTTAACGGGTTAATCAATGTAACCCATACTTTGCACGCCAGTGTTTGTACCAATTTGTCTTAACTTAATTATATTTTTTCACAACGATTGAGGCTCGATTAAAGAACTTTTCTTCGTAAATTTATATAAAATACTATAAATCTCCATCAAGCGGAAAATGTGATTGTTCATAGCACTTCTCACACACATTTTTGTATGCATATATGTTATGTCACAGCTCGCCAATGACACTTTTTAATGGCAAAACTTCTTACAAAAAATATTTTATAATGAAGACTTTTTTTGCACTAAAGGTTCGCTAAACATACGTTCAATAAGCATACTATTGCGATTCGAAAAAAATGACAGACTTGCTTTTAAAAGCGATATTGCCCTAGCTGTAAACTTTAAAAACTCTGTAGAAACCATTGACTGGGATTTTTTATTAGTATTTATTCAGGAATTTTCTAGAATACAGTGTGCAGGGGTTTGAAAAAATATTCACCTGTTAAGACAAATTGATATAAGTCATTGTGTAAAAGTTGGAGAATCTGTGTTCGATAGGTAAGGATATTTCACAAAAAGTTGCGCCGTGCATTTTTCACCGCACTATTGTAAAACTCTTGCTATCAAAGGCAAAGGTATTTTGGGGAAAATCCCAAGAAACAGGGTGGTAAACACCGCCGATCTGCAAGATGTGACAGCAAAGTGTTGACCAATCCAAACAAGTCTCTCTATAGTCGAGTGCTCACATAACTTTTCCCTTTCATACCCGTCAGTTAGTTGTAAATAGTCAAATAATGCGCTCGGTGGTGAACTAGAAATACTTCATAAGTGTCCAGTCTTGGATGTTGTACAGCGACATGTCTATGGTGGGAACTGACAACTGACACGGCTCACAACGCACGGGTGATGTGTGTGTTCTTATGAATGATGTGTGTGTTCTTATGAATGATGTGTGTGTTCTCTTACAACTGATGTGTTATGTGTGTGTTCTTTTACAACTGATGTGTTATGTGTTTGTTCTTTTACAACTGATGCGTTTTGTGTGTGTTCTTATGAATGATGTGTGTGTTCTCAAGACTGATGTGTGATGTGTGTGTTCTCTTACAACTGATGTGTTATGTGTGTGTTCTCCCAGTGATGTGTGTGTTCTTACGAATGATGTGTTATGTGTGTTCTCTCATATTGTGCTGTGTGACCAGTGTGCAGTGTGCTGTGTCTAACTCTCCCACTTTCAGGCCCGTCTCACTAATATTCTTATAGTATTTTTTAGAATTTTTCATATATTGAATCTGCATGCATTGTTTGTGGTTCCTGCACTTCTGTCATTTGTGTGTTTTATGTTTTTGGTAAATATGGTCGAAACTGTCCAAAGCAGCCACTCATTGTCAAGGACTAAAGTGGTTGTCCTAGGCAGGTGGACGTCTTAGACAATGCCATCCATTATAATATATATATATAGTGGTGGAAACAGGTGCTCGTCTATTTTTGGGCATGTGCATTTATTGGTGTCACTTTAAAGCTTGTTCATTTGCCTTGCTTTCGATGAAAGAATTACCCATTTATCTTGAGAACATGTCGAGATATTTGCGATTGAGTGAGGTGGGGTTGCCTGGTTTTAGAGGTAAAATTAGCGAGAAAATGGCCGCCAAAGTTTGGTAACTTCAAATGCTCGAGAGGCCTTGAAAACTAAAAATTTACATATTTTGTGCCTTTAATAAACGTTTTTCAGTAAAATTCACATGAAAGTGTTTTCATATGGACATAAAGGGTGTTAAGCCAAAAAACAAAAATTCTATAAAAATTTCCAAACTGGCAATACTGGCAAAAAAGTGGCTTTTTCTTCAATTTCATTTTTTTGACAAGCGCCTGATTTCGCCACGCTGACTCACATATATATACATATATTTACATCTATATCGATAGGCGGTATCTATAGTTAGATATATACATATTTATCTCTATAGATATATATACATATATATCTATATCTCTCTATATTATATAAAATATATAAATATGTAAATAATATAGGCAAGGGGTGGGATGGGGGTGGGGGGGGGTGAAGTGGTCGTTTGTACAGGTGATTGTCTTGGACAGTTGGTGGTTAGGGCAGGTTTGACTGTTCATGTGTACATGTTGGCATTGTGATTGGTTTCTGCAAGGAACCCTTGTTTGTGCATGATTTTTTAAAATATAGTATTTGTTGTTGAATTTAGAATTACATAACGGGTTTTGATTGACATTTTGCGGCCCAGGGATAATGACACTTTCATTTTATAACTTTATTTATCCCCCGAGTGTCACGGTTTGGAGAGCAGAGTTGAATTCTTGTATGGGGAGTGGGTGATTGGTAGGTGCTCTGGAGTGGTTTGCTTCTTCTTTCCTATCAAACATCTATCGTCCTTATCTCTCCTCCTTTTTTTTGTGTTTGTTACTCTCTTGTAACACCTCTAATCTTCGGCACTCATATGACCTTATTGTGTTGCAAGTGCCGTGAAACTCTTACTAAAAACTAAAACAAAGAAAATGAGTCATGTTTTTCTTTCTTCTTTTGTTGAAATGTTTTTGACCTAATTGCATCATATGTGCTGTAAAAGTCTTGCTAAAACTAACACTGTGTCTTTGTCTGGTGTGTGTGTTTCCCTGGGCACAGAGCGTGAGTGACAAGCGCACGGAGGCCCCGGTCTCCTCGGAGGAACTGCTGGAAGTGAGGCGGGCTCTGGCGGCGTCCGAGGCTACCATCAAACATCTGGTGCAGGCGAAGATGGACTTGGAGAAGCGGGTACGTTTGTGTGTCACTGTCTGTTAAAAGGAGGTTTTTTGTCAGCGTAACCATTTAAAAATAGAGTACTTCCGAAATTTGAATTCTAATTTATTGAAAAACTAGTCACAGTTTCACTTTGATTTTTTCACCCAAGTAGGGTAACTGGTCAGGCTTTCGATTTAACAAAGAAAAAATTCTGGCGTCAAAATGATTTTTTGAAAATGGCGTTTTGTCAGCTTACGGCAGTTTTTATCGTTCGTCTCCTGTGGTGACGACCGACTTGACCTTGACCTTGACCTTGACCTTCCATGTTTCGTCAGGTGGACTGCCTGATGCGAGAGAACGCAGACCTTCGGGTCAACAGCCAGGACTTCTCGGCCCTGGTCATGAACGGCTACGACGCAACGAGGGAGCCAGGGACTGACAGCAACCACCGAGGGGGTGAGGGGGAGGAGGATATGCCACCACGTTCACCGTCACTCAGGTGAGAGAGAGGGGGGGAGAGAGAGGGGAGGGGGAGGAGGATATGCCACCACGTTCACCGTCACTCAGGTGGGAGGGGGAGGAGGATATGCCACCACGTTCACCGTCACTCAGGTGAGAGAGAGAGGGGGGGGAGGAGGATATGCCACCACGTTCACCGTCACTCAGGTGAGAGAGGGAGGGGGAGGAGGATATGCCACCACG